TATATATATACACACATGTATATCAATTTATAAATTTAATCAGCATGATGCTAGCAGAATATTTGATTACATTGAGGAACATATTTTATATGATACAAATTGTGCATATTTTAATCTAATGCTTTTTCTTCTTTAATGCTACATGGATTTGCTAGATTATTACAACTATTATAGAGATGATGGTAATTATATATATTTGTGAACATGTGTTTTGTATTCTTATGATTGATTTTTTACTGTTTGTTGTAATATGCTTCAAACGTATTACTTAGTAAAGCATTTGTGTAAATTGTTTAATACTAGAACTACCGAAGCAGTCAAAATGACTGGTTGTAACTTTTCATTTAAAAATTACTCAAATTAATGGCTTTGTAGTTTAAAAAGTTTTTGACAAATTGATAAATTTAATTCTTTATATATTGCAAACAAATAATTAAAAATTTCTGAAATGAAATATCATAAATTTGAGTAATTTTTAAATAAAAATTTAAAACCATTTGAAACCATTAAAATTATTTTGACTGGCCGTTAGTTCTAGTGTTAAATAACTTTGTTGCACACAATGACAATAATTACTTGTTAAAAACATTGTGAAACTGGACTTTTACAACAGGTTATTTATCTGTTTGTCCTTTATATATCTGCGATGTTCGTTTACAGGATGATCTACTGCATGGTAACAGTTGATCATGAAGCAGCATTAATAAGAATATCTACTCATAAAAAATTTGCTTTTAGATATTTTTACTTACATGTTGGAGTTGATGCATGTGTCAGAAAAGAAAATATTATGAATAAAAAATACAACATATTTTATTGACGTTACATATAATTATTATGTGTAGAAGTAGCACCACCTCGTCCGCCTTTGCCGGGAGGTGACATTCCACCGCCGAGACCTCCACCTCCCGAGACAGATGATGAGGAAGAAATGTTCATGCATGCTCCTCAACCGAATCAACCAATAATGGTAAGGAAAAATGATGACATATTTCTATGATATTACGCATCATGTAGAAATATAAATAACTAAATTTTATGTAGAAATATAAGTAACTAAATAATCGAACAAGATTTTTATTATAATACATCTTTTTACAGATGGCTGCTCATGGTTTGCATCAAGAAGTGCGACAATGGTCAAGCAAGGACAATGAAATTATTGCCGCAGCAAAGAAGATGGCCATATTAATGGGCAGACTGTCAGGATTAGTTAGAGGTGAAGGTGGCAATAAACGAGATCTTATTGCTTGCGCTAAGGCTATTGCAGAAGCATCTCAAGAAGTGACGCGTTTAGCAAAAGAACTCGCAAAAGAATGTACTGATAAACGTATTCGAACGGTATGTTTAAGTTATAGACGTTAATATATATTATTATCTATGTACATTGAAAAAGTATGTGTAAAATTATATCTATCTACTTTTAAAAAGTACTTATCCTAGTACTACCTAAAAACTATATCTAAATTATTTATTAATATTTTATAATCTTGTATTTATAATATTTGCTCTTTTAGAATCTTCTCCAAGTTTGCGAGCGCATACCTACTATTGGAACACAGCTAAAAATATTGTCTACAGTAAAGGCCACTATGCTCGGCGCACAAGGTACAGTTTGTGTTTTTTTTAATGAACTTGTGTTTATATACTCATTACATTTAATATTAATACTCATTACATATTACTCATTTAATATTAATTGTAACTGCCAAATTATTTACCTATTAAGAAACAGTTTTTATATTTGACTCTTCGAGATGGTACAATCTTCCAATAAAACAGTGTTTTACAGAAATTATCATAATGACAGAATATACTGACATAATTAATAAAAAACAATAAAATTCTTTGTATATAGAGACACTTCCGACCTGGGAAGAGCTGATGCTTTATGGTAAAGATGTCGCAAACTTTCTTGATGTTATCTTTTTTTTTTATCTTTCTCTCTCTTTCAATAATATTTATTTATTTATTTTTTTAAGATTTGATATCAGTTGATCTTTTTTCAACGTATATATTGCATTTAAATGCATGCAATCCCTATTTTCTCTCAGAAAAAGAATAAGAAAGTGAGTCATTGTTGCCCAATGTTGTGTGTACACATTTATAAACATTTTCATACATATACATATACTCATTCAAATACATATAAAGCAAACGTGATAAACAAAAACACAGATGCACAATGTTTAGTTTAATACAATTTTAGCATTTTTTATGAGCAATATAGACTAACATATAATTTCGATGTTTTATTTTAAATAAATACTATTTTGATATGCATCTGCTCATCGTGGCATAGATGAATTGATTGGCTGCAGTAAGTGAGTTATAAAACGTAGTATTGACTTTTGGTAGCTAATCTATTTGATACGCAATAATATTTTCTTTCTATGTTATATCCGAAACAAATATATTATTGTATATATATATCTTAATTGTGTATATATTAATTGTATATATTTATAAACATATATAACATTATAATTATTAGTATATTGTATATAAGGTCATGAGAGCCGTTTGCTGAATGTTGTGCGGAAATATGTGTGTATGTGTATATATACGTGTTCACGTGTAAATCTTACACGTGAGTTTTTGAATTGAGATTTCAATTCTTAAATTCATATAAGATAAGATACTATATTTTCTTCTCATATATAAGAGACTCCGTATACCTTCCTAACTAATTTTAAAATATTGCAAAATAAACTTCTCGGCCAGGAATATATTCAGTGAACGGCTCTCATGATCGTATATACAATATACTTATAGTTTAGAAAACTTCAAGAGCCTAAAAATTCTCTATTAATTTATAATTATTAATTTATTTGATTACTATGATGTAATCAATGATATTTTAACTTAATTGTAATTATTACAAATAGTGGTAAATTGAATTTTATCACATCATATCTCTTGAAAGTGTTTTTTAAGCAAAGATAAGTTTTATTGTCTATATTGTGCTCTTACATATATTTGTATTTTCAACCACGCATGCATTTTTCACGTAATTAATTTATATTCACAATATTAAGCACTTAATATTTTGACTTGAATGTACTTGATAGTGACATATAACTAAACACTGCATGTAAAAATCATATTTTTATTAAGTCTTATTATAAACATACTATTTTGTACCTTAGCAGTAAGAAATTTATCAGATACAATTATAATTTACAAATAAGTCTTTCATTATAGGATATACATACATATGGTATATAACGTAGTTTCAGATAAAATTATATTTGTAATGATATATGTATATATATATTAATATATGTTAATTTTTTGCATTAATATATATTTTATTTTGATTCTTGGATTTAAATATTACTTATACATAAATAAATATTATTTAAATATTAATGATACACAAGATATATACAATAGATACTTACAAGATATATATATTACAAATATAATTTCACTTTCTAGTAACTGAGAAATAGTATTACTTAACTTTAGAAATTAATGAATATAACATTGGAATTTATTGGAGTATTTTTCTTACCTTAAATAATATTTTTCTAAATAGTATCTATAAGTAATATTTATTTTTTAATGTACGTGTACAGGTACAGAAGAAGATCAGGAAGCCACAGATATGTTAGTCGGAAACGCTCAAAATCTCATGCAAAGTGTGAAAGAAACAGTACGTGCAGCAGAATGTGCTAGTATAAAGATACGCACTGCTTCTGGTATGAAACTACGTTGGGTGCGTCGTCAACCATGGTATCAATATTAAAATTTATACCAATGTGAGAAAAGTCCCAAGAAGAATGTGCAAGATTTTGGTTAGTATGTGTGTATGTATATATATATATATTAGAATTATAGAATAATTGAAAATATACGTAATAGGAGAGAATATTTTAACACAATGTAATATTTATTATATACAGAACAACAATTGTAATATTTATTATATACAGAAATATGTTCCTAGGTAAAAAAATATTTATTACATATACAGTATACAATAGACCACGCAAGAAAGTATACATATATCTCCACTTCGGGACCGTCGCTAAATACTCTCGCTAGAGATATGTTTTATCTTCCTAAGAAATTAAATCTTTCCTTTACAAAAATTGGGCTGTTTGCAAAGAAGACGTAGTGAGCGAGACAAAGTAATCTTCCTACTACGGCAGTTTGTTATATTTCAGTTAAATGTATCGTGTTCAATATCAATTAGTAGAATATTATTTTTATTAATCTTTTTGCTTAGCTGAATTAAAAAATACCATTAAACATATATATATATGTATAATAAAGAGCATAACTGAACCAATAACCACAAGTTTTATATAAATCATTATTTAATGTTAAGAACACTAACAGATATAAAAAAATAAACATACATACATTTTTGTCACAGTTAGAAATAACATAAGTTGTTTTAACAATTAATGTCTTTTTATTTATTAATAGCAACAAAAATAGATTGACTTGGTTTTGCACCACGTTCAAAATTCGGCAGTATTTATTATGTTATTTATTCTTAATACTTTGTTCACAATCCTTTCGCTTGCAAAACTGCACTAATTCGATTCGGCATACTCTCTATTAAATTTCTGCAATAATCTCTGGAAATAGTTGTTCCTACTATTCTTTAATCCTAGTATATATTTCTGTGATCGATGTTGAGAATTATACAAATCCCGCATTCGCTTTTTTAATAAACCTCATAGATTTTCTATGGGGTTAAGGTCAGGGCTCTGTGCAGACCACTCCAAAACAGAAAATTTTTTAAATAATGATTTACTAAAAATTTCTTACCATTTTGGTTTAGTTATGCTCCTTACTGTATATATACAGGGTATCCCAGAACTGGTGTAACATCTCTTGTAGACAAGTAGAAAGAGTCGAAAAAACTGAGTCGAAAAGTCCTATACTATTTTTTTTTGCTAGATTCGCAATAGAGAGAGTTAACGAGTTTTTAATAAATAAAGATCCGCGAATGAGCGTGCAGCCACGTGCAAAATGACAACTCCGAGTTGTCATTTTGCACGTGGCTGCACGCTCATTCGCGGATCTTTATTTATTAAGAACTCATTAACTATTGCGAATCTAGCAAAATGGTATAGGACTTTTCGACTCAGTTTTACTCTTTCTACCTGCCTACAAGAGATTATACACTAATTGTCGGACATTCTGTATATAAATTATATATACATATATATACTCGCATTATATACATATACACATACACACATACATATATGTATAATATATACACATAGGTTTTGATAAAATATATATTAAAACCTGTAAAAGCCATATTTACACATCTATTTAGTAAAACATAAATAAAATTTTTATCTTTGTTGTATAGAATATTATTATAAAAGATGTTATATTTTTACAAAATGAGCATAAAAAACTATTTGATGAAGATGCCAACTATATTAAGATTCTTCGCGATACTTTTGCGGCCACGTTAAATTGATAACGTCAGAAGAAAAATACGCGAGTTTCGTGCACTTTGTGTAAAAATAAAAGATTATTTCTGTATAACGCACATAGAATCTAAAGCACATTCGTAAAATATGTCAAAAGCTTTTCTTGCGGCTCAACAAAATCAAGACTACACAATAAACATTTTTGACAACTGCCGAATCATACCTTGATTTTGAGTTTCTTACACTAAATCACATTCCAAGCAAAGTGTCTAGTATATTTTATATAGATGTGCTTTGTTGAGAACCTTTTGATTCTTGATTTGTCGTTAAACACTATTATTTTTATATAAAATGCACGATACTGTTTCATATTTTCAAGCCATTTTTGGCCGTCTTGTGACGTGCAGATGTGAATCTGTTTGTATTGTTTATACTTTTTTCACTTTATTTTATTTATTTGTTATTTCCTTTTTTTTAAACAACATATATATCTATCATATTCTAAGAGCAAAAACGTAAGCAATATGAAAGATCTCGTGTTTTCTATGTCTCTTAGTTCTTGTGGCGACCAACGTCGTTACTGTTAAATTAGACTTGACGTTCAGATATTGAGAATCCTTAAATAATTATTTGTATAATGGAATCATCTAAGTTTAAAATCTAAATTGCATCTCATTTGACTCGATTCCTTACGAAAAAAATTTCCGAGATGGTTTTAAAACAAGAACCAGATTTTCCAGCTAAATAGTTGTTATTTCAAGAATAACAGATTTTAAATTTAGATGGTTGCCATGTAGAAATTATATTAAAATTACAAGCCAAAATATATTACGATGTGACAATTGAAATTTCTCAAATTTTCGGGTTTTTTTCAAATGTTGCTAATGAGTGCAAAGAATGTTCTAACCCCATATAGTGATTTTCTAACATAACATGCAGTGCAATCAATGTAAAAACTTAATAATAATAAAATATTGACACCTATTTTAATTTTCAGACAGATAATGTATTTCGGAATACTTTTATGTATAATATCACATTTTTACAATAAAAATATTTACACTTAATAAAACAGCAGATTTTATTATTTTAACTTTTTATATTTCACGTTTGGAATATAAAATATAATTTAATCCTTTCGCTTCGGACAACGTTTGCTATAAGAACTGCTCATCATTTGCAGATGCCGCGCACAGCAAGTATATATAAATATATATAAATGTATATATAAATACAAATTTATTTATACAATATATTACACAATATTTCTCAAGATTCGAGTTCTCTTTTGACAGAAAGCTGTCCAGCTACTGTTGTACCTGATATTTTGTTTTTAGGAATTTTTCCAGGTCTTAAATACGGATTATCTATAATATCTTGCTGAGTAGTAGGTTCACCATTTTGCTCTATATTTTCATTTTGTGTTTGATTGTCTGCAAGCAAAAATTTACATTTATATTTATATTTAGTTTAGTTGCACACAAAATCTGTTTATGATAAAAAAGTATGCTTCTAACAGACTTACTTTCTTCTGTCTCCTCACTTTGTTGGTCTTTTTTCTTTTTTACTGTGTTTGATTCAAATTGAAAATCAGGGTCTGGCTCAAATATTTGATCTTGTGGTAAAAGAGCAGAGATATAACTTGGAAATTTTGGTTTGCAAGCTATTACTGAAAGCAGAGAAGAAACATACAATATTTTTGTTATACAATACCAATTAAATGATCTTGAGCAAAAGTGACAACTTACAGGGAAACATGCTGTTGTCTTCTGTGAGAAATAAACTATGTGTTTCTCCTGTTTTAGCAATAAACCTTGTTAAAGCTCTTTCTATATCACGTTTTTGTGTCGCTGCCTTTTCTCTTATAGCTTCATACTCTGTTACTGGCTGTTTATGTGTCTACAATGTTTTTTACAATTAACTTGCCATATTTTACCCAATATTCTAAATCATAATTAATATTAAAATATTAATATCATAAAACAATAAAAGTAATATATAAATACTCACAGGAGTTCTAATATACGCATGTGGGTCAGGAAAAGGAGGTAAATAACTCGGTATATGAGATGGATGACCTTGCTTAACACCAGCTTGCAAGATATTCAATTGCTTTGATTGTGTTTGTTGTTGAAGAGCTGGTAAAATTGTCCTATTTTGTCTTTTGGCATAATTTTCAATGTTATCTAGTTTCATACCCATATTGATCAATGCTAGTATCACATCTGCCATGAGAGGCTCAGTTCTCCCAGAAAGTTCACAGTAATTTCTTGCTGAAGCCCCAGTTTCTACAAGAACTATAATTCATACATGATAGTATATGTAAATATAAAGAAAAGAAAATAATGAATGTATAAATGTGTATTTGTTGCAAATTAATTATAAGTTCAGCTTTACATAATTATAACATAAAGATAATTAAATTATGTACAAACTTACATGATTGTAACATTTCAGTGAGAGTTTCTACCGCTTGTTTTTCACACGTGTCAAATCCACACTCCACTAAAATACTGCAAACTACTTGATTTAATATTTTTCTTCGAGTATTGACTGTTTGTGCATCCATACTGAATAAAAATCTGACAAAAATTGACAGAAATGCTTGGAAATTACATATATTTCAACGTAAGTTTATCTTTTTTCAACTAAAACCTTTGGTTACTAGTTACTGGTGCTCTTATGGCTCAGTGGACCCTTAACTAAAACCTTTGTAGCACCAGGGCTGTGTTCAGTTAAGCAAGATGGAACGAACTAATGCAGGAAATACAGGAATTGGAACTAATGAAACTAATGAAACCAGAGAGAAACCTGAGGGCGATG